AATTTTTGAGTTAAGCATTAAGTGAAGTTATTGGATTGAACTTGAAGCTTCTGGTGTTGATTTGGTTTATTCTGCAATTGTTATAAGCTGACCATGTGGCTGTGATTTCGAATTTTCGATTCGGTTTGACCGTAGCTATTACTTTGCTGATTTCTGCAGATGATGTTAAGAAGAATGAAAGGACGAATTATTTCAATTCCCCTGCATTGGATGTCTCACTTGCTTTTCCACAAGCAACGCCGGCATCCACCTTTCCTCCCTGCGGTAAGAACATTAACCATCATTATATATACATATGGTATACATAAACTCGTATATGTGTGTATGGAGAAGTTCTCTTTTGTAGAACAGTTTAGGATTTCCGCGTGTTATGTGAATCCAGACTATTGATTTGATGGAATCGTTCGGATTTGCGTATTCATCATGTCTATTTTTTGCATTTTAGTTTGTTTTTAGTTTGTTTATTTGTGAATATTTTGTACATTTCTCGTGCACCGCTTTAGTTGATTGTGAGTTAGATTTGTAATTTGAAGTGAACTAGGCAGCTTTAGTTATTAACTTCCATTTTCTTATCTCTTGGCCTTAAAAATTCACAGCCTCGGATTATTACCAGTTTGATGATCTATTGACTCCTGAGGAGCAGGCTATGAGATTGAGAGTAAGAAAGTGTATGGAGAAAGACGTCGCTCCAATTATGGCAGAGGTGTCCCTCTTGCTCTATCCATTTGTGCATTTCATATTAATGCTAAAACAGTAAGTATGTAATGATCTAACTATAAACAATTCGATTGATATGCGAATTCGTTTTTTCAGTACTGGGAGAAGGCAGAGTTTCCATTTCAAATTATTCCAAAGCTTGGTGCATTGCGCATTGCTGGTGGCACAATCAAGGTGCTTAATACATATCTTAATATGTTACTTTTAAATCTTGCGTTCAAAAATTTGGTGGATGGGTTGCTAAACTCGCTTTTGGCCTTCTTGCTATCAGGGTTATGGGTGTCCTGGTCTTTCTATTACGGCAAGTGCTTTTGCTACAGCTGAACTTGCTAGAGTTGATGCAAGCTGTTCTACTTTCGTCTTGGTTCATTCCTCACTAGCAATGCTTACTATTGGTTAGATTTGGATAATTTTACTTTTGACATTTTGATTTTAAATAACCAAACCTTCACTGAAAAATGATGCTGTTGACAAGTCAAGACTCACAACTAGTGTAACTTTTCTGGACTGTCAAGAACAGCATTATGTGGTTCAGAAGCTCAAAAGCAGAAATATCTACCTTCATTGGCTGAATTTAAAACTGTAGCCTGCTGGGTAAGCTGCTTTTTTATGATATGTGTCTGATATATTTTTATGCTAATGTCAAGATACTGAAATCTGTTCATCTGCATGTTAAAGGGTTTGACTGAGCCTGACTACGGAAGTGATGCGAGTGCCTTGAGAACGACAGCAACAAAGGTCAAGGATTTCAACATTCCCATTTGCTTCTTTATTTCTGTTGTTAAATGGTATTTGTCATGGCTCTGATCTCATGCTATATCACGTATTCTTTGTGTTGTTGGGATCATCAGGTGGAAGGAGGTTGGATACTTGAGGGCCAAAAGCGATGGATAGGAAACAGTACATTTGCTGATGTCTTGGTTATTTTTGCTAGGAATACAACAACAAATCAGATTAATGGGTATGTAAAACAGAAACATGCGATCAACCTCTTAGTATGTGTTCGGAACTTGTTAGTTAAGCTTCAAACTCATGCAAAATTTTATGAATATTTCTTTAGCTTCAAAGTTATGCAAATTCTATGAATATTTCTTTCTGATTATGTTTCCCCTTACATCCACATCGTGTTGGTATTTAGATGCTCTAGATTAATCCAAAAGTCAGCATGATGGTTTTCTGTAGCAGCACTCTCATGTTGAAAGCCTTTTTTCTCCTTCTATTTCAGATTTATAATAAAGAAGAATGCCCCTGGACTGGCAGCTACAAAAATAGAAAATAAAATTGGTCTGCGCATTGTTCAAAATGGAGATATTCTCTTAAATAAAGTATTTGTTCCTGATGAGGAAAGGCTGCCTGGTGTTAATTCTTTTCAGGATACTAGCAAGGTAAGCTGCAAAGCCGTGTTGGTGGAATTTGTTTAATCTTCTCCCTTTAGAGTAATTTAGGCATAAATTCTACTTCTTATTCGACCATATGTTTAATAAACAAGACATGAGAGGTATTACTTTCTGTACTGTGATTTGGAGATCATGTTGAAGCTTGACTAGAGATTCATCTTTGTTCTTGTTTAGCTCTTTCTTCACCTTTTGAGAGATAAGGCTTGATACTGCGTTGACATTATCCCAAAGTTATAACTCTGAATCTTCTTTCTACGTAGCATAGAGCAAAATTTTTCATTCTGTTGCCCTAACATAAAGCAGATGTGAATCAATTGATTCATTTGTTAAGGAATCTTCAAGTAGTTTACATTGTTATGGTCTCTCATTTCTCACACGTTAGAATGACACATATAATGCTGTCTTCATGAGTATTTATTGATTTGATGTTGATTTAAACTGCTGAAAACAGGTTCTTGCTGTTTCGCGTGTCATGGTTGCCTGGCAACCTATTGGTTTATCTATGGGAGTCTATGATATGTGTCACAGGTATTAAAAAGTGCCTAAGCCTCTCTCTCTCTCTCTCTCTCTCTCTCTCTCTCACATCTTCAATTCAGTGTATTTTCAAGTTTCCTTGGTACCGAGTCTGAATTATAAGGAATTGGAAGGTATCTGAAGGAGAGGAAACAATTTGGAGCCCCCCTTGCAGCTTTCCAAATCAACCAAGAGAAACTTGTTCGTATGCTTGGTAATGTTCAAGCTATGGTTCTTATAGGCTGGCGCCTCTGCAAGCTGTATGAGGCAGGTAAAATGACTCCAGGTCATGCTAGCATGGGGAAGGTAAGAAAAAATGACGTCCTGATGCATTTGGTTATCCTATTGCTTATCCATTCAAAATATTCAGAATAATAAATGTGTGCAATTTTCAGGCATGGATCACTCTGAGAGCAAGGGAAACAGTTGCTCTGGGGAGGGAATTGCTAGGTGGCAACGGAATCTTATCTGATTTTCTTGTTGCAAAGGTAATTTGCTTATTTGTGGATTTAAAATTTTACGTTTTAGAATCTATAGAAGGATTGGAACGTTTTTTATTAGATGAATTTTCAAGCTAGGACTCGAAAGCAATGATAGGATTGAGTTTGAACTTTCGCTCTGTTTGATTGACTTGCATACCCATTCCTTTGTCCTACCTTTGTCTGCAGTAAAAGAATTTGCAACGTTCGCTATGTACATCTTTAATTAGGAATCCGATTGCATTGATTTGTAAACGTGCAATTGCGAGGCTGTTTCTTTTGACACGGGCGTTTGTTATATATGTCCACCTTTTAGTTTCACCTTTTGAGCCCTTTTCATTTTGGGGTCACCTTGCAGGCTTTCGGTGATCTGGAACCCATCTACACATTCGAAGGCACGTATGACATCAACTCCTTGGTCACCGGCAGGGAAGTCACTGGCATTGCCAGCTTCAAGCCACCTGCGTCAAGCCAACGGAGCCGCCTGTAGCAGTGTAACTTCTCCGAATCTCAGCTCCCTCCGCAAGTTTGTTTCATTAACAAGGTTGTCTGATGTCAAATGGGATGAAGTAAACTTATCCATTGACAACCAAAATTAAGGACGCCTTATAAATTCTGGTTTTTGAACATTGTATCGTCATAGTTCTGAAAGACAAATAAACGATCTCAGCAGATCGCCGCATTCGACTTTTCATAGTTCTGAAAGACCCAAATAAACCATCTCACTTTTCAGTAAGTGGTAAACTGAGTTATTCGCCAAAAAAGCGCCATACCTGGGGAGGCGCCGGCGGCATAACTGGAGTGACGAAAAGAAATGAACCTTTTGAAACTTACGACCAGAGACTGCTAAACTTGGTGGTTGGGTCAACAGAAAGCTGCCAAGGCGTCTGTATTGACCACGTTATCTACACAACAGAAGCAAAATTCCCATCACAAGCTGTTGTGTCAGACGATAGATTTTTGTTAGATTAATGCAAGGGTTTTACACTTTTTCATCATTATGGTAAATGACGACTTGCCAAAATATGTTGGGTTCAGGAAGATGAGATTTTAAGTAACGGGTAGCTAAACGTCATAAGCAGTTACATCTTTGATTGTAACTTGTAGGCTTGTAACCTTCCAAAATGTCGTCTTCTCCCCCATCAAGGCCAAGTGAGCTGATATATATCTATAATTTTTGAAAACATATTTTTGATTAACAGCTATCGTCCATGAGATAAAAAGCTGCTACTGAACGCTTGGAATCTGGTCTAATTGGCCTCCAAGTGGGAGAAAAGCTAACTTACAATCTGATTTAGTCTTGTTTTCTTGATCACTTGACACTTATACATCTTAAGGATTACATTTCTTAAGCGCTTGAAATTTGGTCTAATTGGCCCCAAGTAGGAGAAAATTTGAGTAGAAGTCTGATCAAGTCTTGTTCTCTTGACCACATTCCAAAAACCATAAAATTCTCAGTAATATATGTGATTCATTCCCTCCATTCCAATATTCATTTAACAACTTACCAATATTCACAAATACTTGGACAATTACATCATAATTCTATTCAAGTTACAATTTGTTTGAACTTTGTTAAAACACAAATTGCATCACCCCTCCCCAGCTACGTAGCTCTGCATTAAAACTCATTGCCTTTCAAATTAAAACTCATTGTGTTTCGAATTTAAACCGTCCCTGAACCTTATAATAAATTAAAATAAAAATATCACTTGTATTAAAAAAAATATACATCATCCAAGCTCCATTGCTAAATACAATCATATTAAATATAATATAGTATACATCCCAAAATTAGCATACCATAATCTAAATTATTAGCCTAACCCACCATACATTTTCCTCCGAAATAAAACCTCAAAATTAACAATAAGCCACAAAATTCTAGAAAATTCTACCACCTACTAGTACTACCAATTGGACTCCCACCGCCGCCGCTCCTTCCGCTCAATTCCCTCCGCTTCTCGGCGTCCCTCTCCAACCCCAAACTCCTAATCTTCAGCTGAAACTGCGCCACCGCCGTCAAAAACCTCACCGCCTGCCTCGAGCTCAGTATCTCCACCAGCTTCGTCACCATCGTCGTCCTCAGCAAGTTGGCATTCACCAGCACGGACTCCAATGCCGGCTTTAGCGACTCGATCACCGCGATGTCCTCCACGATCTCCCCGTCCCTGGCCCTCCCGTACCGCCGCAGCACGTCCACGAACGGCGGCGCCGCGACGCTCTCGTGAATATTGGCAAGCTTGTCGTTGAGCGCGCGCTCCTCGATCCGGGTCTCCACCCTCAGCCGGGCTATATTGATCCGCTGCCGGTCGCTGAAATCGGGCACCGACTCCGTCACTATCCGGAATACAAGACCCGGTTTGTACCCGGCGATCCAAAGGAGGGTCCTTTCGTAGGAACTAAACCACGTCGGGGAGAAAACCAGGAAAACATCCCGCTGGGCAAGTCGCGATTTCTCGTCGTAGTACTGCTGGTAATGGAGGAGAACCCGAGATATCAAATCTTGGAGGTCTTCATCTCGGGCCTCGTCGACCGTCCGCTGGGCCGATAGGAGCTCGTCGAGGAAGTGTTCTTGCCGGACCAGCCAGCCCTCGAAGAATGCCACGAATGTGTTCGATGTATTGCCGCTGTGAGAGCCGGTTGACATAACCAAAACAAAAACAGGGAAGATTTCTGGGATTTCAATGGGGACGAAATACAGAGAGATGGGCGTGATTAAATAGGAGATTGGATTTGAAAGGTGGGTTCTTTTGGTTTTTGATTTCGCTTTGTGGGCAAGTAATGCTAATGGATGGGGATACTTCGAGAGCAAGGTTCATGCATTTTGTTTCTTTAGGGAGAGAAAGAGGAGAGGAGAAAACAGAGGAGGTGATGGTCAGGCGGAGACGCGTGTGCAGGTGGATGCCATTATATATATGTATATATATATTATATATATATATAGCGAGAGAGAGAGAGAGAGAGAGAGAGAGAGAGAGAGAGATAATAGTTAAACGGTGGCTCCAACTGCTGTCATTAAAAGACACCGACTGATGAGAGAGAGAGAGAGAGAGAGAGAGAGAGAGAGAGAGAGGGGAGGGGATGATAAATAACTGAAAGGTCTCGGTGGGTTCCGTCGTGTAGTGAAAGCCAGAGGAGTATGAAGGTGTTCAATTCAAAGTGGTGGGAGTGGAAGGAAGAAAGGGGAAAGTTTCACTAACAAGAAGGGTTTTTTAATTTGTGATTCTTTTGGGGGTGTGTATTTTTTTCACATTTGTTTTTGTCAGAAGGTGATTTCGATTTGACAAGGAAAGGAAGGGGGTTTTGTGTTAGCTTAATGGGGGATTTTGGGCCTGCCCGGATGACTGGGCAACACGTCTCAAGGCGGCGAAGTGGAGGAATTGTGTGAAGCCAAGTCATCGTTTTGGGTTTGTTGGGGAGTGGGGAGGGTTAAACCCTCGGGGGAGGGTGTCTTTCTCAACAGGCAATGTCTTGCATTGATTAAAGGGGTGAGTTTTTTTATTTAAATGATTAAAGGGATGAGAAAGTCCGAAATTATTACAATAATGAGTAGATAGGATTTTAAGCTCATGACGCATTGGAGGTTGTTGGTGGCAGGTGGGGGTGGGGGGACTCATGCAGGTTGGAGAAATGGTGATGTACAAAAAAGAGTGAAGGTTGGTTTGGTAGCTCGACTTGTACATAACTATTTCGATTGAAAAGGGAACTAGTGTTCTGGTCGTTGTAATTTGCGGCATGTATAGAGTAGAGGAACTTATTGGTGTACTATATTGTGTCTTCAAGTCCTGTATAGAGGAGAAAAATTTATCCACAACGGAATGCACAGGTGATGTTATTGTGAAATAATTACACATTGTTATGTGTCTTATCTCTTTTAGTGGTGGTACATAATTAATTTGAGGTAGCATTTCCGTTGCATGAAAGCCTTTTTTGATACAACAATGTTCTACATTTAAGCGGGAAAGATGATATACTCTAAGACCATCTCCAATGGTGACCTAAAACTTAAAAATATTTAGCCCAAAAAATTTAGGTTTTAGCCCAGAAACAGCTTTTCTACTCCAACCCTTCTGGCCTAAAATTTTAGCCCCAGATTATCAAAGAATGAATTAAGGCTATTTTTTAAAAAAAAAAAATTATGTAGACTATCCTAAATTAATTTTATGAATATTTTAACCTAAAAATATTTAAATTCCGATAAATTTTGAAAAATCACTAAATCAATACATGAAAATCATGATAAACCACATAAACTTAATACCAACGACATTTAATAAACCACATAAACTTAAAAAAAAAAAAGACAATTAATAAACCACATAAACTTAATACAATCGAAAACTCATAGACTACATAAACTTAATAATGATATCCACCATCTTGACTTGGTGATGGACTTGGGTGATAGTCTTGAGATGAATCATCATCTTGAAATATACTCCTTGTGGCATTCCTTCGTAAAATTTCCTTTTGCTTACCACGTAAGTATTTCTTCATTTCTGAAGTGTATTTGTCGAGGTCCTCCATTATCAAATTAGTTTCGTACCTTTCTTGCTCCCTATCCCCTTGTTCCTTCATGGCCAAAAACATTTAGGCCGATTCTTTTTGCCGACGGCACTGGTTGTCGTTCATTCTTGCCATTTCGCTAGCAAATTGTGCACGTATCGGATCTTGAGACTTCCCTTTTCTCTTTGCTTCCTTTTGCTTATCTCTACCCGGGGGCCTTGGAAAAGAAGAAGTTGGGCTCATTTGGTCGACACCTTCATTGTCGGCAAAATTCACACCTTTATTGACATCATTTGGGGGTGGGGCTTCATTATGAAATAATCTTCCACATTGTTGATTCGCATCGGTTCCCCACCTCGGACAATCCTTGAGGAAGTTCCAAGCATGATGCAACTTAAAAGCTTGATTTTTTGGTGTAGTTCTTGTCTTGTAAATTGTCATTACTTTGTCACCCTATGCAACAAATACATAAAAACAATTAGTTGCAAAATACTATTATGTACATGACAACTAAAATATCAACAAAGAAAATCACAATTTCTGAGGCGCTCCTTCCACTAGGCACGTCAACCATGACTCTTTCCAAACTTCCCTTCCACAAAGTGCACGCTTTGTTGATAATCTTCCACCGATCATAAACACCACCAACTTCCCTTCGATCGGCGTTGGAATTTTCATGGAACTTATCAACGATTTTACCCCACAAAACATTTCTATTTTGATTGGTGCCGACGGCACCATCTTTGTTAACAGAAATCCATGCCAAACATAAAGCAATATCTTCGTCAAAGGTCCAATTACGACCTCTAACATGCTCTTTTGCCATCTTGAAAATTTTGGAAATGAGAAGAAATGGTATAAAGAAAAATTGGAAGAATTGTAGGAGAAAAGTAAGTTTTGTGTGGATGTTTGAACAAATACATAGGTATTTATAGAGTTTTTGGTTGAATTTTAAGTTAAATAATTTTTTAAAATTATTCTAGCTGTTGGATTTAAATTTTGACCGTTAGATCTTTTTTTTTTTACAGTTAGATTTGATTATATTCAATCTAAGCCGTTGGATTTAATAAATACATAAATATAAAACTAAAAAAAAATATTTGAACCTGGATCGTTGGATTAACCAACGGCCCATTTAAACGTAGCCGTTAGATTACAAAAAGTAGCCGTTGGGCTACTTATTGCATTGCTTTGTGGCCTAAAACTGGGCTGGTATTTGACCCTCAAATGAGTTTTAGGTTTTAGGTTAATTTTGGGTCATGGGTTGGAGTGGATTTTTTGGGGAGGGGGAGGGGGGGGGGGAAAGGGGAAATTTTAGGTTATAAATCACCATTGGAGATGGTCTAAGGGAGGGAGGCTGAGTTAGGCGATACAATGTGTTAGTCACCAACTAGGTATTAAACTCAACACAAATTTAATACATTATCGTCATTCATGTGAGTCAAACTAAAAAGATCTCACTTACACATTAAGAGTAATACTACTAAATCGTAGTTCTAAACTTCTAAGTGATTGCTGATTATAGTGAAGTTGAAGGGTAGGTGACAAATTTTCATTGACTTTTACTGATGACAGAAATTGGTTGCCATGAGATATATTCAGCAACAAGCTGCTGCTGAATAGATATTTTTGTTAAAATTGGTTCATGACGTGTTCCAGTTGCTGGAAGTGATGATCCTTTAAGAGATGCTGGTGTTGCCAGTTGGCAGTTTTGACCAGCCAATGATTGTACTGGGGACTGCTACGTGGCATGGGACATAAAATTTGGTTGCTCTTATCGGACGGATCCCTTTTCACCTAATTCACCTAGTTTGAAATCTGGACCGTTGAAATTTGATTCAACCACTACAAACAAGAACCCCTTTAAAAATGATAATAAATATAACCGTTGGATCAAATTTCAACCGGATCCCTTTCTGTTCATATCACCTCAACAGGTCTCTCTCCTTTTTTTTTTTGTACATGAAGCGGGAAAGCCAATGAGGTTTGATGTCACAACCAACAATATAACTATTTCTTAATTATTTATCCTCCGTTCGTAAATTTATGGGTGCTTCAATTTGTCGTACACGCCATAATGATTTTTATTTTACCATAGACGTAATATATGTATACGTACATACTGAAATATATGGTTTTTCAATAACCTTATGGAGCTTGATCAAAATCTGAATGGTTGGTATCCAATCTGTATGGTTGGATCATCTACCAAAGGTGCACATCTGTAGAGCATAAGTTTCTAATCGCATTGTATACAGGTGTTTTTTCTTTTGACTACCCTAATCTACAGGAAAGGGATCGAATTCTGGAGCAAAAGGTCGGAAAAGACACGCTATCTGGCCAAAATCACTAAGCGGAATGAATTAAATTGAGATTTTGAAAGACCATTAACCAACAAGCAATCTTTAGCAGAATCCCTTCGCAACTTCAGTAGAAGATAAAAAGGAAATGACAAGTTGAGATAATGAACATAAAATCGCATATTTAAAATTGGATTAACAAAGCTCCAAGTATAATGAGGAGTTCAAACATCCATAGATGGATGCCACAGACTAACTACAAAGATTACGAGGGAGAATTACCAAATGAGAGTAGGTTGGAAACATATCGAACGACAAAATAGAAGAGTCAAGCATACGAGCAGGAATAAGCAAGCTTCCTAAGAAAAATACCTGATTGTAATATAGCCTAAGCCTCAATGATGAACACAACAAAATGATTTCCGGAAGCTAAACGAAACTTGACCTGCTAAAGATCATCTTTTCTTGAAACCATACTTTTTCCGTTCGTAGAACAGATCTGTTTTGGCACTTCCCAGATTCACAATTTTCGGACAGCCATCTCTATCTTTCTCCTGCTGAGTACACTCTTTGCAGTAATAAGCATCAGAAATTCCAACCCCTCCACAGATAACACACCTTCCCTGGAAAGATCCATAGTTGCACTCATCGCAAACCCGAACAAGCGTGCAAGGACGCACATAAGAGTCACAAATTACACACTTACCGTCGCACTTCTCACACAACCTTCCAATAGCTATTCCAGGTTGCTTCCGGCACATAATCAGGTCAGGATGATGCTTCGCCATGTTCCTGCAACAACAGGGTAAAGTAAGATACTGTCCAACAGAGAGAATAGAGCCAAATCGCAGTAGAAACAGAATCCAAACAATAAAAAACAGATAAAAGAGATAAAAGAGCAAATATAATCGAAGTTGGAACGAAGATAATTGAGTCCTTTGGAAAGAAACCCAAAAGGAAACTCTGACTCTGAGAATATATTGATAAAATCTGAATACATTCATAGCCTATTGATACTAGAGGACAGCAGCCTAGAATTCCCAATCCTTTTTTTCCTAAGAAATCCTTATTCTACTAGGAACTACGAAATTAAAATTTAATCCTATTCCTACTAAATAAATCATAATCCTATAAATAAAGACTCCACAGAACATAAAGGAAAACATGAAAAACTCCCAAATTAACTAGAACCCTAGCCAGCTACGTAGATAGCGGACTCACTTAGCTTTCGGGAGCCCCTCAGAATATGCTCTTGCATCTTCTACAAATTCAAAATTTCAAGACTAACCCAATTTGCAAATCTGCATAATTTAAACAATTTCATGCCAAATTGCAAGGTGCTTATATTCACAAATCACGAAACTGACGCCAAATCGATCAGCTATGAATATTTGCAAACTCTTTTACAACTATACACAAAAATAATAAAAGCGGTTTACTTTTGTAACACCAATTCATGAGGGGTAAGGACTAACAAAGAATGTAAATTCAAGAAAATGTGCAATTTCATCATCAATGAAAAGCAGTTCATTGGCCCATAAGTACAAAAACAGAAAACACCCACAAAAATCCAATTTTTTTTTAATTTCTAATTACTCGTTCAACTTCTGAGCGCTTGCGATATTGCCTAATTCCCATCACAGAAAACTAGTTGTGGGATTTAAAAAGGCTGTGTAAATAGATGAAACGATTCATGAATTGAACAGAAAAGGAACCCTAAAACGGCTAATCGAATGCGCATTCGGCTAGAAATTTAAATTTCAGATGGAAAAAATTCAAAATTAAGCAGCAGTTTCTACATACGCGAAAGCTAGAGAGGAAGAACGAGTAGCTAAAGGACCGATGCTTACCGAAGATAGCTGGGGAGGACTCGGACGAAGGGCTGCTACTGTATGAGAGATGAGAGCACAAATGACACAGAGAATCGAATAGGGCTAATGTTTTGTTTTCTTTTAAGTTTCAATTAAAAATTCATACAACAATTTCAGTTTTTTTTTCTTAGAGTAAATTGTACAAATGGTCCCTCAACTTTAATCAAATTGGAGCAATGGTCCCTCAACTAAAAATCCATTACCATTGGTCCCTCAACTTATCAAAATGTGTAGCTATAGTCATTTTCATCAATTTTGTCAAAATTTTGTCAAAATAAGCTATGTTGGAATGACCATTTATATAATTAGGGTCCCTTAACTCATCAAAGTGTATAATTATGGTTCTTTTCGTCAACTATGTCAAAAAATTTGTCAAAACGAGTTATATTGGAAGGACCATTGCTACAATTGAGTTAAAGTTAAAGGACCATTTCTCCACTTGAATTAAAGTTCAGGGATCAATGGTAATGAATTTTTAGTTGAGGGACCATAGCTGCACGTTTTGATAAGTTGAGGGACCAAAGGTAATGGATTTTTAGTTGATGGACCATTGCTCCAATTTGATTAAAGTTGAGGGACCATTTGTACAATTTCCTCTTTTTCTTATTTATTATTGGGTAGATGAATTTCACCTATCATGACTCTCACACTCGTTTTAATTTTGATAGTCAGATTAATGAATCAAACGAAAATAACTGACAAGATTTATCAAGTTGTGTGAAAATTAAAAAGTGTTTATGTATATAACTTCACTTTTATCAAAATGGCTTTATATAATTTAATAAAAAAAAACGCTTAATGAATTACTATAAATAATAACCAGCATATGGGCACACACAAAGTGTGAGAGAATTTTTTATTTTATTTTTGTTTTTGAAATAGAAGGAGAGAGGAAGATAGTGATAGAGAATGTGGGAGTAGAAAGTTTTAATTTTTTTTAATTTTTTTTAATTAGAGACATGTTAGGATTACATATATGTGAGGTTTTGAAAAGGAAAAAAAAACAAAATTTGGTTGTGTGAAATTACATTTCTGCCCCATATTTCTTATTCATGTTCTGTTTTAATTAGAGAGTTAAACTGGTAATTTCATACGGTTTTGATTGATAGTGAGTGTTTTATTAATTAGTAAAGATGACAATGAGTATTTTCTTAATTAGTAGAGATGACAAAAACAAGAGAGCGGTGGTGATAGTATTGTATATGAGTTTAGTTTGAGCGCGGTAACTATATCGTAAATAAGTTAAAGCTATTTCTTCATAAAATTTGTAATTGTCCTTATGATTAAAAAACGTTCATTAGATATTTTTGGGTAAAAATAAGTTGGTGAGGGATTTTTCATTAGTCTTATAATTTTTTATTTAGGAAAACTAATGAAAAGGGTTTGAAAACTTTGAGTTTTAACGATAAAGACAAAATAAAGGGTAAAGTGAACAGTATTAGGATTGACTTTTTAATGTAAAAATGTGGTTTTTCATTAAAGTGAACAGTACCGGGAGCTTTTCGTTAAAGTTCCCTTTTTTATTTTTGTGGTGGGAGGGTAAATTGACACGATTAAATAGGACTCAAAACTAAAGCGAAAGTGGTAAAAATAAAAAGAAGGTCAAAAGTTAAGCATAATTAGTAAAAGGTATAGTATGTGAAGCACATGTATAATTTTACTAACATAATAATTTGAAAATTTGAGCATTTTTTTTATTTTAATATTTATTTAATCGATAATATGTTAAAAATATGGGTAAAAATTTGTGTATTTTATATGTATTATTGAAAGACATGTGAAAATAATATATTTTAATCGTGAAAAAAATATGTATTGTACTTGGAGTTTTAAAAAACATACAATTTAACGAATCATTAATACGTGTATAGAAAACAAAACTTGCTAAAATACGTATGTGCATTATATTAAGGATATTATATGTAAATTTACTGTGACAATGCTAACTATTTTGAGAATTGTTATTGATACTCACGTTCTTTTCTAATAAAACATATGGTAAGAAATGTTAGCAATTTTCATTTTTAATTTATTGTTTTGTTTTATACAAAAACGATTTTATGGAGTGGAAAATCGATCCTAGAACTTCAACTACAACGAAAAAAATGCTCTAACTTGAGCGTCCCCTTCACTCCAAACCCTTTGTACTAAACCTTAATGTTAAGCTCTCACCATCACGTAACTTTCGGCTCTTACTATTCACCTCTCTCGCACTCCTAACACCATTTGCAAATTCTATCAAAGCTGTAGCAGTTTGTGACTACTTTTTGCAGAGTTAGCCATTCAACAAAGAGCATAAAAAAAATTATCCAACAAAAACCACTAATGATTAAAATTCTAAAAAGCACCACACATTAAAATTCGAAAGCTTCAAGTCATATAAGTAAAACACACCACAAACATCAACGAGACAAAATTCAAAGCGATAGCAAGAGAAAGAAAGCAAAAATAGAAAGAAAATTTTGGTGAGTAGAGAGTGGAAAATATTATTGATGAGTGATCATGTCCTTTCTCCTTTGGGCAGCATGCTTTGTCCTTTTCAAGTCTTCTTAAACTTTAAGGTACGAGTCTCTGATTGCGCTCATTTTTCTGACAACCACGTCCATCAGCATCCGCTCCCTTGGTGACATTGCACAACAAGAGAGTCCTATCTGCATCACTGAAACCAAGCATTCCTTTAATTTCATTGCTTTCACCGAGCCACCATTGTTACGTCTGGATGGAGTTTGTTCTCGCACTATGTCATTGTTGACATCACCATCTGTTTCGAGGTCGAGGATAATTGAATGGTCAACAACGTCCATGACATGGTCAGGCAAAGCCATGGGTACAAATTGGTAAATGCTTAGACCACCTTTAAACATGTCATTGGTAGGTCTTTTTCTTGTGAACATTTCCAGCAATAGTATCCCATAGCTGTAAACATCTCCAAGTATGGAAACTTGGCCTCCTGTGCCGTACTCTGCTAGGACATACAATATGTCGTATGCAATTGACTATTAGAACAATATCTTCTTTATATTTATATGCTACTTATTTTCCAAGAAAAAAAAGGGCAGTAATGTATTTTTCATCAATAGAGATTAATTAGTTGATCTTTAGTGATAATTTACTAAGAACATAAAAAGGAAGTTAGAATAATAGAAACTCATACCTGGAGGAATGTAGCCTATAGAACCCTTGAGCTGAGATGACATTGTTTGACTGAATGAGGGGTCATCTGATGTTTCAAAGAGGAACCTTGCTAAACCAAAATCCCCAACATGAGCTACCATATCTTCATCAAGAAGTACGTTGCTTGGCTTTAAATCACAATGAATAATGGTTGTTTCACAATGGTGGTGGAGATAATCTAACCAGAAGCAACATCAATGGCAATGTTCAATCTTTGCATAAAACTCATTCTTTTACTTGGAGATTCCTTCTCATATCTTGGATACAACATTGAGTCTAGACTTCTATTTGTCATGAACTCGAAAACTAGACTTTTGAAGTCCTTGCCCAGGTTATCAATGCTTGAGCATGCAGTCATGATCTTGAGAAGATTACGGTGCCTTATACTCCTTAAACTTTGCATTCATCCATGAAACTCTTGGAAGCTCCTTGTTGTTGAAGGTTTAATACCTTAACAGCAACTACTGTTCCATCACTAGGAATTACCCCTTTATAAACAGAACCAAAACTTCCCAAACCAATAAGATTATCCAGAGAGAACCCGTTAGTTGATTCAACAAGTTGTGAGTAATAGACACCTAATTTCCAATCCTTATAAGAACGTGAAGTTGCAAGTCTATCTCTTGACCTTTTTAGCTTTGAACAAGCACCAAAGAAGCAAGATAAAGCAATTATGATTCCAAGTACACAGGCTATGGGGATGACTACTTTTGGGGAATGTAATCCTCGAGATGAGTGGTGTTTTTTTGGGGGGCATGGAGGTAGATGTAATTGTGGGATGCCATCACAAAGCCTATGATTCCCAAGAACAGAGACACCACTTACATTTGCAAAAATACCTTCTTTAGGCAACTCGCCCTCAAAATCATTATATGAAAGATTGAGATACTTGAGAGCACCAAGCTTGCCTATGAATTCAGGAATTTGACCAGACAAGTTGTTGCTTGAAAGATCAAGTTTTTCCAAGGCTTTTAAATCTTTAAGAGATTGAGGAATTGTTCCTTGAAACTTATTACCTTGCAAATACAAGTGCTCCAAACTAGCACAACTGCCGAGGCTGCTCGGGATTTCACCAGATAAATTGTTTCTTAATACATTTAGCTCCATGAGATGCACTAAATCACCCACTTCAAAGGGCAGTGGACCAGTCAAATAATTGTCAGACAGGTCTAAAGAAATTGAAAGGGTTGAAAGCTTCATAAGCATTTTAGGTATGGTGCCCGTAAGGTTGTTATTTGAAAGGTCAAGATCCAATAGGTTTTGGCAGTTTCCAAGACTTGGAGGTATACTTCCCTCAAACCCGTTAGACTCCATGTAGAGGTTTAACAATGAAGTCATGTTACCAAGGGAAGATGGGATTGACCCAGAAAATTGGTTAACATCCAAATACAGTTGCTCTAACTTCTTTAGCTTCCCAATTTCATCAGGGACAATACCGCCCAAATGGTTATGTTCTAATGCTAGAAAGGTCAAGTTTATAAGATTTCCAATGCCGTTAGGGAGGCTTCCATGTATAACATTTCCCCCCAGACTAAGATAATGAAGTTGGGTCGAAAGGTTGGCTATGGATCCCGGAATTCCTCCACCAAAATTATTAAAGCCAAGACCCAAATGCTCCAAACTAGTGCAATTAGCCAAGAAACTGAGAAAATTCAAGTCACCAACCTTCCTTTTTCCTAGTTGATTGCCTTCAACGCTTAACTTAACTAAGCTTCGCAAGCTTCCTAGACTTTCACCAGGGAGTGTCCCAGTAAGCCAATTCATACCAAGATCAAGCAATTGAAATCTAGAAGCATTGGAAAATGATGCAGGAATATTTCCTCTGAATTTGTTCATAAAGCAGTAAAATCCTACGAGATTAGGAAGCATAGTGCCGAGATTTGGTGGTAGCTCTCCATGCAACTGGTTGACAGAAACACTGATATAACGTATGGAAGAAATATTATAGATTCTAGATGGAACCATACCAGACAGATTATTCTCTGAAACTATGAGGCTATCCAAGCCTGTTATATGCGCAAGCTCAGTGGGTATGCTTCCTTGCAAATTATTGTCGCCAAGATGAAGTCTAGTCAAAGAAGAAAAGTTTCCTATCCAACCTGGGATGGTTCCACTGAGATTGTTACTTGAAAGCCTCAGATGAGTTAAACGCAACAATGAAATGAGTTGGATTGGAATTGACCCAGTAATCCCATTGACTTCAAGATTAAGCATTCTTAGTTGTGCGCAGTGCGATATATTAGTTGGAATTTTCCCGCTGAAAGAATTGCTAGACAGGTTGAGGTATTGCAAGCTTCTTAGACGACCTATTTCTTGAGGAATTTCACCATGAAACATGTTTTTTCCCAGGTTGAGTCTAGTGATGTAAGTAAGATTTCCAATGGAAGGTGGTAGGGAGCCTACCAATTTTTGAGCTTCTAGGTTCAACGTCAAGACTCTTTTGGTGGAACGGTGACAAGAAACCCCAAACCAACTGCAGATATCGGTGGAATGATTCCATGAGCTCATGACATTGAGAGGATCTCCAGTTATTCTTTTCTTGAAATCAAGCAAAGCCAAGCGGTCAGATTCGTTTCCAAGCAGAGTAGGGCTGTGAAGTGCTGCAGATTCCGGACATGTGATCATCCATAAAAGAATGAAACCATGCAGGAATTTCAATAAAACAAGCTTTCCATTGGTACGTGAATGCTCCATGTTTGCTCTAAATTGCACAGAGAAAATTAATCAGAACCCTTTTTTTAATTGAGATAGCAGCTGTGTCGACCAAATAATAAAGCTCACGCCGTGTCTTATAACTAAGGAATAACATAAGAGTCAGATCTACATAGTTCACAAAAGATAATCATTTGAGAGAAAAAAGACATTGTTTTTTTTTTCGAAACACGAGAAAAAAAAAAAGACTGTTTGGTACTAATGCACCCACTTTTTCTCCACAACTGTTTATATAGTCTCTTCAAAATGAAAAGTTATTCCCCATAACATACTTTGAGTTTTATAAAAAGACGTTTTGATGTAAGTGCTTCAATTTTAAATATTTTGAATCAAACATGTATACCTTTTAAAATTTTGATCAAACATTTTTCTACTAATTTTTAATTAAAAATTATGATTTTTATGAGATTTAATTTACCAATTAGTTCACAAATTAATATCACAAATCTCCTAAAACCACAACAAATATCCTATGTTATCTTATTATAATTCGTTTGAAAAGAATTTTTTTTAGCTCAACTAAACTTTTCTTTTTTGTTTTGTTTTTAATTCTCAAAATACATCAAATATCCTATTAACATACATTTATGAGATATAGCATGCACATATATTAAATATAACGTACCAATCATTTAGTACATTATTGGTACGTTATATAAATTTCATTCGGGTGCGTATTAGTATTTTGGTAAGTTATAAAATATTACTTTTGATACATTATGCAATTATTTATTTAGTACGCACCAAGTTATTAGTACTTTGTGTTATCCTTATTTGGTACGTACCAAGTTTTTGGTACGTTTTGTTATCCTTATTTTAATTATAAAAGAACTCTTATTTTTTTATTAGGTTAATCTCAATTTACTATCATGAAATTTCATGATTTTCAATATTTGGTACATAAAGTTTTTTTCATCTCAAAATCATAAGTCTTAATTTTGGGACAGTTTCGTACCTCTATTAAGTTGGTTATTAAGTCAGCCGTTAATTGATGACGTGCCGTCAATATGGATAATGACTAGACGCCATGTGTCAATATGGGCCCAAGTAAATATTAAGAACATAAAAAAAAAAAATTAAAATCAATTCATCAATGATTTTGTTTTCCAATTTACCTAAACGAACCAATTTTCCAAAATTTACACAAAACTCATCAAAATTGACCCCGTATTGCTTGGCAATACTCCGAATCAAATCAGATGCAGAGGCATCAGCCGCCAAGATCAAGTCGTGCTCAACGTCAACGAAATCGAGCACAACCTGCACATCCAGAGCTCCTTCAAAACCTTAAATCCCAACCAAATCAAATCACATTTCAACGCAATTGGAGTAATGATCTCTTAACTTTAACCCAATTGTAACAATGGTCTTTCGAACATAACTCATTTTGAAAAAATTCTAACAAAGTTGGAGAAAATGACTATAACTACACATTTTGATGAGTTGATGGACCCCAATTGTAACAATGGTCCTTCAAACATAACTTATTTTGACAAAATTCTAACAAAGTTGAAAAAAAAGACCATAACTATACATTTTGATGAGTTGAGGGACTAATGGTAATAGATTTTTAGTTGATGGACCATTGCTCCAATTTGATTAAAGTTGAGGGACCATTGCTACAATTTACTCATTAATTATATTTGTAGAACTCAATGAAGGAAAGAGCCGGATCCCTTCGACCAAATCCACCAAGTCCGGGGATCCAAGCCGTTGAAATTTGATCAAACGGTTATAGTTATTATACCTTTTAAAGGAGATCACTATTTATAGTCGTTGGATCAAATTTCCACGATCCGGATTCTCAAACTTGGTGGAATTGATGGAAGGGATCCGAGAGGATCCCTATCCCTCAATGAATACCTTTTATCTTAAACTTATATTTAATAATATCTATTTGATTTTTGGACTTCATTTTCTCAGAAAGAATCATATTTTGTTTATTTACTTACAAAATAGATTCATAAGGATCATATAAAGTTGAAGCTTAATGTATGAGAAGGAGAGAGGCAGATTACGTGCTGAATGGCATCATGAAAATCGTTCAAACAATATCGTGAAAGAGCACTCAACCTATGTTCAGAGGTTCTTCCAAATCATACATACTAAACAAAAATATCAAACAAAACAAAAACAAAACAAGCACTAATCACCTTTTTGTTTTTGTAACCTTTGGCCGCTACAGTAACGTTTGTGGGTGCCTATCCGTCACTAATCGCTTTACTCACCGTGCAGTTACGAATAAAGGGATGCTGACATAACTGTTGACTCCTTGTCTCGATTAATTGCAGTTCGTTACATACAGAAAAAAAGATTGAGAAATTTTGAAGGAGAAGAAAAGGCTTTGAAGGCAAAAGCTAGAAATGGAGTGTGGACTGTGAACTATCAACTAGAATGGGAAAGCAAAAGAATATGCTGAAACAGAGAAAGAGAGATGGGATTTAAATATGAGGGCAGAGTAAGGAGAGGAAGCAAAAGCAAGAGTTGTAATCGATGGTAATTAGTGGAGAGAAAATGTCATTGTTGGAGGCAAACCCACTCACATTTTCTCTTAATCTTTGTTGGCGGAAAACAATAATGTGTATGCATCATGGTATAGATTCAATCCCCACCGACCTCCTTCTCCGTCTAATATTTAACAATTTAACCCACTAACACTATCGTTTGTCTTATACAACAATATATATACACACACTAAAGGGGAGCGAATAAATTGATTGCGAATTCGTCATTCCTAAAATTCGAACCTAAGTCCTCTTGTAAGAAAAATATCAATGAACAGTGTTGCTATGTGACAAACATCTTTTCCTTTACCGCCGTGTCTTATACTTAAGGAAAAATGGAAGAGTTAGACCAACATATGTGCACAATATATGGGGTCTAGAGTGATAATAGGTGGAGACGAAAATGACATTGTTTGGTAATAATACACCAAATGCACTCACTTTTTCTTCGCTATTGTTTGTAGCCCTTTTAACACTATGGAGTTCTTGAGGGAGGGGCAAGTGGAAAGAGAATATGCAGAAAGAGAGAGAGAGAGAGAGATGTGGTAATCAATGGTAATTAGTGGAGAGAAAAATGTCATTGTTGGGGTCAAATGCACTCACATTTTCTCTTAATTTCATTGGCGGAAAGTAATAATACTTATACACCATGATGTGGATTTGATCTCCCCTCCCTCTAATATCGAACAATTTAACCCACTAAAACTATCGTTTCTCTAAAAACAAAAAAAAATTATACAACAATATATTAACACACTAGGAGGGGAGAATAATTTGTTGTAAACTTGTCATCCTTGAGATTCGAACTTAAGACTTCTCGTAAGAGAAATATAACTAAACAGTATTACTAAATGGCAAACATCTTTTCCTTTATCGCCTGTCTTATATTTAAGAAAAAAAATGGAACAGTCAGACCAACATCATCCACAACTTAATGGGTCTAGAGCATGGTCTAAAATATCCATAATATCCCGATATTTCCATCGAAATTTCCGTGTTTTTAGACTACCGATATTTTTTTGGATTACCGATATTTCTGATATCATCGATATTTTAGACCTTGCTAAGTCATTCATGTATCTTACCATGCAATGTATAAAGTGTAAAATATTGTACTAATTCATTATATATAAATGATTATAGTGTGTTTAAACTTCTTTCATTAATTACTACATATTTTCTATACTCACAATGTTTGCCAGTTCGCTATATAATCAACTTAAATCAGTTATATCTATTTCATTCCAATTTTTTGTAATAAACTAATAGATAATTGACTAAATAAACATCCTGCAAAGTTTCAATAAAAATTTCCAAGTTTTTCTTACAATTTCAGTGGTTTTTATTCAATTTTTATCGATATCGATAATATCCCGATATTTCCATCGAAATTTCCATGTTTTTGGACTACCGATATTTCCGATATCATCAATATTTTATACCTTGGTCTAGAGTGATAATTTATGGAGACAAAAATGACCTTGTTTGGTACTAATACACCACCTGCACCCACTTTTTCTCCAATACTGCTTCAGTGCTTCTTGTCCTTTTAAAATAGGAAACTTTAATGAATCACTTTTGGTACTGTTTACTTTTAACATAAAAAATATTTTTACCTTGAAAAGTCACTTCTAGTACTATTCACTTACACCTTTATTTTCTCATTTTCATTAAAATTAAAGTTTTTAAGGACTTTTTGTTAGTTTTCCTTTTAAAATACAAAACTTTTCTTTTCAATGTACCTTAAGTTTTATAATAAGTATATAATTCAATAAATTCTAGACACCAAACTAGCAATATGTAGAATAAGTATCCTCTTCGGATCCTCTTTGTGAGGATTTTGGAGATCCTCAAATCATGTGCGTTCGTTGTACAATATGCAGCCAGAAATCATTTTAAATATGTTTATTTTAAATTAAATATGAACAGTAACTGATAAAAACTAGTCGCATGATATACGATGAACATACATGATTTAAGAATCCCAAGAATCCTCACAAAGAGGATCTGAAGAGAATCCTCGTTCCAATATGTATGTAGTATGTAGAAGAATGGTAGAGAGTTAACTGTCCATTAAACTTGTGGCATTTGAGATAAGTTAACCCTGGAATTATGAGATTGGTTTATGAATTGACTTGTTAACTGAAAGTCTTCCCACTACACCGTAGAAGAAAGCATGACGACGGGTCACATTCGCAGCCCACTAAATTGTTGAATTTGAAAATAAGAAAAAGGATAAGGTTGTTGCTGCCAAAGAGAAGCACTTGGCGATATCTGAAACGTAACTATGTAAAGTATCTCAAATAAATAAGGCCTTTTTTTTTTTAATGTGATAAAAACTTATACGTCTTTTTTACTTTGTTATATGATCTAAAATTTTAAGTAATTTGTTGTATTACGTTCTCACTAGATCCCCTTCAAGATTATTTTGGATATTAGATTATTTCGGATATTTTAACTTCCCACTCGATCCCTTTCAAGATTATTTTGAACATTTTAAGGTTATTTCGGACATTTCAACTCTTTTTTTTAATGGATATGATTGACCACATTGAATTAATTCTCAAAGCTTGTAATTAGTTAAACTCTACATTAGCGAGCCTAATATACCTTTTTAGTAGTCTACAAGTCGCATATTTTTTTTACTAGCCTAAAATTAGTCACTTATTCTTAATTATGAATTCATGTTCTTGTTTTTCTCGGTTAAGTGTGGTTTGGTATGCAACACTTGCGGCAGTGGTAAGTGGAAAAACATAGCGAAGTGGAAGAAACCATAGTCAAAACATTCTCTGGTCGGGACTTTTCTGGGGCTGGTGGGCATTGAACATTCTCTGGTCGCATTAATCTAGCCTCTTTATCTGTGGGTGTTGTTGAAGTTGCTTCTTCCGATTTTTCTTTGCTTTTGGTTTTGATCAGCTTCACTGAGGTTAAATCCATCTTGATGACTAAAATCAGCTAAAATGTACACTACTGCACGACAAACAAACGCACGGAGGCAATTGAAACGCAAAGTACGTTGCCAAGGAAATTAAAGGTGGTTTTGTTGAGATCAATATTAAGGCCTATATTTATACAAGTGTGTTCATCGGCTGTTTCTAGCTTTTCTCACTTGCCAGCGGCTGTTTCTAGCTTTTCTCTCCCTGGCCAGTGGCTGTTTTTGGCTTTCCAGTGGCTTTACCTAGCCTTGCCGCACCCTATTTATAAATATAGGGCGTGGTTTGCATGCCTATTTTATTATTAAGTTTCATGTTCTTATGGAATAGGAAAGTACACTTTCATTCCTTTTCCAATGTATGTTCGAGGATTCCCAATCTAATTGTACAAGGAAACTTTGATTCTTTCCTAGTCCTTTTAGGAGAAGAATCGGTGCTCCTTTAATTTCCCTAATACAATCCTAAACAAAATACGACATTAACTATGACCAGCCAAAATCCTAACACATGATTGGTCAGCCCTACCTATATTACAAAGATGATACAAATGTGGTAAGTGTAGCATTTCTCTATTAAGTTTAGAAAATCATGAATTTGTCATCTCATCCTAACTCCGTTAAAGTTTTCCATCCAAAATAAGTCATGTGCCTTGCACATGACTTAGTTTCAAGTTTATTTTGGATATTTCAACTTCCCACTCGATCCCCTTCAAGATTATTTTGGACATTTTAAGGTTATTTCTAGACATTTCAACCCTTTTTTTTAATGGATATGATTGACCACATTGAATTTTCAAAGCTTGTAATTAGTTAAACTCTATGTTAATGTACCTTTTTAGTAGTTCACCATAAGTTTTTCAAACGAGCATGACATATTTTTTTACTAGCTAATTCACCCTTAAAATTCGAACGTAAGACCTCTTGTAAGAGAAATATCTCTAAACGATATTACTAACTAACAAAAGACTTTTCCTTTAGTATACCTTTAGTTTTACGAGCTAACCAACCCAATCTAAGTCTAGGCACTAAACGAGCCATTTTCAAAGAGGGGTGGCCGAGGACTTGGAATAAAGCAATCATCAACTCGGAAATTTTCATGAGAAGTAGTGGAAGTGGATGCATAATAAAATTAGTCACTTATTCTTCTTTAATTATGAATTCATGTTCATGTTTTTCTCGGTTAAGTGGAAGAAAGCAGAGACGATGGGTCGCATTCACTCGCACCCTACTAGGCCACTATCTTAGTGCTCTTGGGTGCCTTTCCCATCCTATTACCTATGAGATATATAATACTTAATTAGGAAGTGTTATTGACCTCTGGCAATCACATAACTTTGCACAAAACACTCGAGTAACTTACACTAATGGTTGCTAGTATTACACAAAAAGAGACAAACACAGAAGAATAATTCAATAATTCTGAATCTCAGATGGGAAGCTAATAGATTCAAATGAAGTGAATGGTGGAGGCACATTATCACCCTAGCAAAAGATGTAAATCAAATGACTCTGTGAGGAGATCAAAAACTGATATCAGACATCCAGAGAACAGAACATCTTTATGACGGGGCAACACGTCTCAAGGCGGCAAAGTGGAGGGATTGTGTGAAGCCAAGTCATCGTTTTGGGTTTGAGGAGTGGGTAGGGTTAAACCCTCGGGGGAGAGTGTCTTTCTTAAAAGGCAATGTTTTGCATTGATTAAACGGTGCAGTTTTTTATTTAAATGATTAAAGAGGGCGAGAAAGTTCAAAACTATTACAATAATGAGTAGATGGAGTTTTAAACTCATGATGCATAGGAGGTTGGTGGCGACTGGTGGCAGGTGGGGGTGGGGGGACTCATGCAAGTTGTAGAAATGGCTTAAGTACAAAAATGAGTGAAGGTCGGTTTGGTAGCTCGGCTTATACATGACTATTTCGACTAAAAAGGGAACTAGTGTTCTGGTTGTTGTAATTTAGAGCATGTATAGGACAGGAACTTTTGGTGTTCCATATTATGTCTTCAAGTCTTGTATGGAGGAGGTAAACTTATCCACAGCGAGATGTACATGTGACGCTATGATGAAACAATCACACATTTTTATGTGTCTTATCTCTTCCACATGA